CGGGAGGGAGGGAGGGAGGGAGGGAGGAGGGCTTGTCTTGCTGCCACCTCCCTCTGTTCCTTGTCTCCCCCTCCCCTGGGCTGGGGGGGGCTGTGCATCTGCCACACGTGGTCCTGAAACACGGCCCCCCTCCCCTTGAGGGGTTCACGAGGAGGAACATGACTCTCTAAAAGGAACAGCCCCTCCCCCACAACGTGACCCCCCCCATGGAATTGTGGCCCACATCTCGCTCCTTTCGAGAGAGCTCCTGCAATGGCAGAGGGACAAATGGGACGCTGGAGGGTCAAGGCTGCCTTTGCGGGTGGGCTGGCATCGTCCACCCAGGGCTGTTGGGAACTGAGAGGTGCCCTGGTCTGCTGGCACACTCTGGGCAATCTGCAAGGGGGACGTTGACCCCCCAGGCCAAGGCGCTTCCCTTCTCCTCCTATGGCTGCAGGTGGACAGGACACTGGAACGCTGGATTTGGAAACTGGCCGAAGAGCTCAAAACCCAACTGCCTGACACCAACGTCATCATCACCGACTGGCTCTCTCTAGCACACGCACATTACCCCATCGCGGTGCAGAATACGCGGGACGTCGGCCAAGAGATCGCTCGCTTCCTGGAATGGCTGGAGGTAAGCAGGCAGAGGAGAAAGGCGGAGGTGGCTTACTCAGGAGGACGGCCCTCCAGCTGGGGAGACTCCTGAAGGGGAGCCAATTGCAGCCACAGTTTGCCTCACAACCACGGTGGCTCCCATGGACCAGCTGGGGCCTCCCAGGCCTCTGGGCCGGCTCAGGGGACTGTGGAGCATCTCACCGCTTTGCCTTGGTCCTCCACCCATTCCCTCTTTTCCAGGAAACCGTGCGGTTCCACCGGAGCAAGGCTCACCTGGTGGGGTACAGCCTGGGGGCCCATGTGGCTGGTTTTGCCGGCAGCTCCATGAGAGGCAACGGGAAGATTGGCAGGATCACCGGTGAGTCCATCAGCCGGCATCAGGGTGAACCCGGCCGTTGGGCAGCTCCATTGGGTGGGCAGGACCAGCCATGGCCTTTGGACGTGGAGAGAGGAAGGCAAAGATGAGGGGGAGGAGGGCGGCTCCCGGGCTTCCCATAGAGCCACAAGCTGGGTGGGAAGGAGCATTTCTCCCCGGAGGCTCTACTGACCAGCTCACAGGGCAGCTGGCTCAGCAGGGACTCCGGGGGCAGCTCGGCCCCTCCCCACACTCTAGCTTGCTCCAGTGAAGCTCCGGCTGCCCTCCTTTCCCAGGGTGGTGGGTTCTTTGGCCAACAGCTGAGGGTCGTTCCTGGGCCGCATTTCTCACAAGCCTCCCTGGGTCTCCCTTGCAGGCCTGGACCCTGCCGGCCCCCTCTTTGAGGGCATGTCCCCCACAGACCGGCTCTCGCCAGACGACGCTGACTTTGTGGACGCCATCCACACCTTCACCCAGCAGCACATGGGCCTCAGTGTCGGCATCAAGCAGCCTGTGGCGCACTTCGACTTTTACCCCAACGGCGGAACTTTCCAGCCTGGCTGCCACATCATGCACGTCTACAGCCACATCGTGCAGTACGGAATCACAGGTGGGTGGGTGGGGGGCGCAAAAGGAGGCCCTGGAGGGGGGGGAGCTTCCAGCTGAGTCCCTCAGGGCCGGCAGGAGCCCCGAGGCAGAACCCGGAGCGGAAGGCAGGCAGGCCGCTGAGCAGGCCAGGGCAAGGAAGCCAGAGGCTGAAGGAGGCGCTCTGCACTTTAACCACTGGGCCTCTTTCTCCCTTCTCTCTCCCTCACTGACTTGGCCTTCCGCCTGCTCTGCCTCGCCAGGAGTCCTGGGAGGAAGCACCACAGATGTCCGTGGCCAGTTCCCCCTGGAACCTACAAGGGGAGGGGGGGCTGGGGGGGTGGGGGGGGTGGGGGGGTGGGGGGCTGGGAGGGAGGGTCCTGACCTTCCATGCTGTGACAGCCTTCAAGTCAGAAGGAGAGGTTGTCTCTGCTCCCAGATGGCCAAATGGGGGTCTCCAAGCAGGGGCCGCCGTTGTTTCGCAGGCAGGTCACTCCCTGGCAGGCCAAGGGACCCGGGTTCCTGGGGCTCTGGCAATGCTGAGTTTGCTGCCGACTCAGGATGCCAACCTAGGCTTGAAGAACCTCTTGATCAGTAGATGGCCCCTCCCAGGCCGCCTGTGGAAAGGTTCACGAGGAGGGCAAAGTGGGTGGGGGGACTCTGGCGGCAGCAGCTGGAGAGGAATGGGCAATTCCGCAGCTGGCGGGACTGAGAAGCCTCTGAGCTACCTCAGGGCCTCCTTTCCCTGCAGGGCTGAGCCAGACGGTGAAGTGCGCCCACGAGAGGTCCGTCCATCTCTTCATCGACTCCCTGCGGTACAGCCAGAAGCAGATCACGGGCTATTGGTGCAAGAACATGGAGATGTTTGACAAGGGACGCTGCCTGGACTGCCGGGCCCACCGGTGCAACACCCTGGGCTACCACATTCGGAAGGCCAGGATCCCTGGCAGCCAGAGGCTCTTCCTGAAGACCCAGCCTCAGATGCCCTTCAAAGGCGGGTGGAGGAGGAGGGGGCAGTGGTGGGGCAGCCCCAGGGGCTCTTGCGGATGGGCTCCGTGTGGGCTGTAGAGATTCCAAAGGGCCCCAGAGGGAAACGGGATGACCACAAGGCTGTCCTTATCCCAAAGGAGATGGCCAGCCCTCTGGGCGAGATCCTGCCCTGGGGCCGGACAGCTTCATCCGTGCAAGCGGGGGATGCCAGGAGCTCATGTCTACAGCCCTTGAAACCCCAGGAAAGGCAGGGGAGCCCCTGACCCAATCTCTGGCCCCTTCCTAAGCAGACGGGCATACCTGGCTGCTCAAAATGTTTCGGAAAGATTGCCTGGAACAAATGACCACAAACTACCTGGAGGGATGCCCAGATTGCCAGCGGGGCAGTGGCCGGTTGTCCACGCAAGCGTTGAGGGGGGCTTTCCTCTCCCGAGGCCCAGCCTGCAATAGCAATAGCAGTTAGACTTATCTACCGCTTCATAGGGCTTTCAGCCCTCTCTAAGTGGTTTACAGAGTCAGCATATCACCCCCAACAACAATCCG